TTTTGGCGAAGGTTGAAAATGAATATCAGCGTAATATTATCGGAATTTATTATACCTGTAACCGCAACTGTGAAAGAGCATGTCAGATGTATTTGTATGAATATCTTGAAAAAAATAGATCGGAATTTGTTTGAATTTTGAGCACTCGAGAAGCCTAGAAATAACTATGGACACAGGAATAAAACTCTAATAATGTTTTATTTTAATGCGTAGTGGTAATAGTTTAAATTCACAGGGTCCAACGACACTTACAGTGTACGATAATTGAATAAACAAAGAAATCTAAATAAAAAAATTAGATAAATTTGGAACGAATACACTGAAGATGAATTTTTCGAAATAAAACGTCGGAATCTGGTTCGGGCTTAGGCAGTACAGTATTGGGGGTCATGAAGGCTTGAAAAAAATGTAATCAAATTTCCAGGGTCGTATTTAAAAATATGAAGTTGATGATGGTCCTGGAGAGACAAAACGTTAGATATAAAAATTGATTATGCCATTCGATAGAGGGCCAAAAGTGGCCATAAGAAAGGTGTTCTTCGTTTTTCAATATCACCTCAAACAAGGCTGAAATGAAACGAAAACGGATTTCCAAAATTTCAGTTTTTTCATATATTTCGAAAACTAATCATGTTAGCCTGATTGTGCAACTTTGTTCGCATTTGTCAACTTTGTTCGCATTTGTATCTCTTACCGTTTCCGAGATCCCAGCCTGTATGTATTTATTGAACGAGGAGAAATTCATATTTTGTAGGAAATATGCCCGTTTAAAAAATCGCGCCTAACTCGAATTTTATGGCCTTAAAATTAAGTAAAAAATGCACAGAATAAAAACCTAAATTTGTGTATTTGTAGAGGTGGAGCGTCATATTGTTTATAACAAAAGAAAAATAAATAATTGCTCTTTTTTCAGTTTTTCGCATATATCTCCGAAAATAAGCTTTTAATCGACATGAGGTATGTTTATCGATTTTGTACTTGTTTTTTACATTACAAAATTAGCGGTGAAGAAAAAAATGGGCAAAATTTTCAGCATTAAATAAAAAGAACAAATTTGACTGAAAATTGATGAAACTACAGGAAAAGATACCTGTTGGGGTGCTCAACAAATAAGCACAATCCAGACACCCAATTTCAAAATGGCAGACTACTGCAAAATGATAAAGTCCAAAATGCGAGCGCGTATATCTTCTGCCCAAGTCAAGATATCGAAATTCGGTAAATAAAAAGGAACGAAAGGTAATTACATTATCTCGCGTGTTTGTTAATTTCAGATTTTTAAGTTGCAAAATAAAAAAGTTATTAACAAAAAACCAAAAAAAAAAACCGTAACTAGAGTCTTTACTCGACGGTTTTTTAATATACAGATTTCAAACCAATTACATCAACTAGTGCTTAAAAAAACATGAATTTAAAAAAACGTCTCGATCCTACCAATAGGAGCTGAGATAATTTTTTTTTAAAGTGGTATTCTGGCCGTTCTCTTTAATATTTTGTAATAAACGTGGGCTCATTGTAAAGTACAAGACTTCCTGAACTACGCTGAATTTTTTTTTAATGGATTCGACCAAAAAATGACCAAGTAAACGCGCGTTAAAAACAGAGGGATCGGCGCGGCGGCTCACGCGGCTGAGCGGTAGCCAGGAGAGGGGAGCGCTGTGACGTCATAGTGCCCTTGCTGCGCTCGGCTTCACAAAATTCTTACTTAACAAGTGTATTGAGGCACTTAGAAAGCAGCTACCGGGATGCTTTTGTTTTAAAATCAACTTATTTTTTTCCGCTCTTTCGAATGGTGTAAGCAAAAGTCTGTGAAAGTCATCGCCAGACCCCGAAAATACATTTCTATTGACTTTTAACGTTTTCTTTTGTAATTTCATTGTGCTTTCGATATTTTGAAAAGTATCTACTTTACAACGAGCCCAAGTTTATTAAAAAAAAATAAAAAAAAAAAGCCGTTTTAAAAAAAAAAAAAAAAATATCTCGAATCCTATTTGTCGGATCAAGACGCTTTCTTTTTAAAGTCATATATTTTTTTAAGCACTATTTGATGTATATGGTTTGAAATCTGTATATTAAAAAACGGGCGAGATAAGGACCCTAGTTACCGTTTTTTTTTAGTTTTTTTGTTAATAACTTTTTTAATTTGCAACTTCAAAATCCGAAATTTACGCAAACGCGCTCGCGTTTTCGACTTTATAATTTTGCAATAGGCCGCCATTTTGAAATTAAATTTGAAAATAGTTACCTTTTCCTGTAGTTTTATCCATTTTCAGTCAAATTTGTTTTTTTTAATGCTGAAAATTTTGCACATTTTTTTTCACCGCTAATTTTGCAATGTAAAAAAAAATTGCGAGCTTTCGCAAAAGCCTATCCTTGTAGCAANAAAAAAAAAAATATCTCGAATCCTATTTGTCGGATCAAGACGCTTTCTTTTTAAAGTCATATATTTTTTTAAGCACTATTTGATGTATATGGTTTGAAATCTGTATATTAAAAAACGGGCGAGATAAGGACCCTAGTTACCGTTTTTTTTTAGTTTTTTTGTTAATAACTTTTTTAATTTGCAACTTCAAAATCCGAAATTTACGCAAACGCGCTCGCGTTTTCGACTTTATAATTTTGCAATAGGCCGCCATTTTGAAATTAAATTTGAAAATAGTTACCTTTTCCTGTAGTTTTATCCATTTTCAGTCAAATTTGTTTTTTTTAATGCTGAAAATTTTGCACATTTTTTTTCACCGCTAATTTTGCAATGTAAAAAAAAAAATTGCGAGCTTTCGCAAAAGCCTATCCTTGTAGCAAATTTCCTCATGAACAAGTTTTTTTTTTTCTTTTGTTATAAACAGTATGACGCTCGACCTCTGGAAATACACAAACTTAGGCTTTTATTATGTGCATTTTTTACTTAATTTTAAGCCCATAAAATTCGAGTTAGGCCCGATTTTTTGAAAAAAAAAAACCTAACTTGCCCGGACTATTACTGCACTTTTTTGTTTTAAGGTTATCGTATGGTTGTCCGAGATTACCAACTGAAAATCGTAAGAACGTCTGTTTTTGGAATTTTACGACGTCCCCACAATATAGACCAGCATTCGATTACTATTATTTTGCAATTAGTATGAGTAATGACTTTGGTGTGAATACGAATTACATTGCTTTTGATCACTTCAAGCACGTTCTTCCCAATCCCCCAGAAAATTTAACGGTTACGACTACGTCACCCCATTCCATAGAACTTTCGTGGACGATTCCCGACTCTATGATTAAATTTCCACCAGGACTTCATCATAGGGTGTTATACCGATCGGAATATGAAGAAGAGTGGCACTTGGGAGGCATTATAAGAGGGGTTAAAAATAGAACCCTGTGGTTCACATTAGAAAACCTGAAATACGCTCATACTTTATACGATATCAGAGTTAGTATGAGGTCTTCGGTGGCAGATGAAGACGATGAGTCTATGTGGTCGGGAAACGCAACGATAACCGTCAGAACGGAAAGAGCGGTGTCCGACGGTCCTTCTAAATTTTAATTGACATTTTTTTTGATTTCTTTCTTTGTTCGCTTTTTACTTTGTATTTTGCACGTGTCTGGTTGTTTACACATTATTTTTAACTGGTTTTTATATTAGCTAACATTTCTCAACCGTATACATCTAATTGGACCGTCCCTTTGTCTGTATGTATGCGGTATAAAAAATAAATAAATAAATAAATAAATAAAACTGATTTGGGTAGTTTCGAAATCGTTAATAACGAGAACAGTCATGACGTTAATATTTTCTGGAAGCAACTCAATCCGGAGCAATATAATGGGCAATATTTGTCTTACGTAGCAGACATCCCGTCGATAAGCAGTGTTGTATCAGTCAAAAGTTATGCCGTGTTAGAAAATTTAGGTTTTTCCGAATATGCAGGCTACAGGGATCTAGGAAACGGTAAGAGGTACGAAGTAGCTTAAATGGGGCCAAAGTTGCGTAATCGGGGTCCAACATTACCGCCTCTAAAAAATCAAGGCTGACATGATTAGTTTTCGAAATATTTGAAAAAAACCGAAATTTTGGAAATCGTTTTAGTTTCAATTCATGCAAATTCTTCGGCAAAAATAAAGCTAAATTTTTTTACTCATGTATTTTTTCGTACACCCTTTAATTTTTAAGTTACAACGGAAAAATCGATTTTTTTTTAAAATTTGAATAATTAACATTTTCAAAAATTAAGTTTTTTTTCGAAATCATGCTTTGTAAGTCAGCCAAAGACCCAGAACATATTCTTAGAACATAAATGAAGAAATCTGTAAATGGATTGCATTTAATTTTAATTATGTCACCAAAGGCACTGATTTGTTTATTAATTTTTTCTTTAAAAAAATGAGACTATCATGTTATTTCGATCATATTTCCGTTAATTTTGATTCTAAAGAGTTTTAAAATTCCACATTTTAAACATTTTAAAGGTTTTTCAAAGTACTTTAAAAAAGGTTCAAACAGTTTTTTTCCTAATATTTATGGTTTTGGCGTTATTTAACGTTAACCGGTTCCAATTTAGTTTTTAGCTATAACATATAATAATGTTTAAAAATCCATAAGTCGGTTTATATTGCAATTAAAGAAAAACAAAATAATGCCATTAGATTTGTTTTTTATTACCTTTCTTTTTGTTCATTACAACTTTTTCGTTAAGTTATTTGCAAGAAACTGTCCGAAAACAAGCACTTTTTCAGTAAAAAATCAACATTTTCGATGACGAATTACTCGGAAAATATTGGATTATCCAAAAAACTTTATATAACATTTGTTACTTAAAATTGACTCCTCTATCGATTCCTGTGGTTATTTTGGGCGTAAAAATTTCCACCCCCAGGGCAAAAGCGCACTTCGGCACTATATAAGTTTTGTTCCTTGAGGCATTCCCCTCATTCAGTAAAATTTCACGTCAATCGGTTCAGTTATAAAGAATTCAGAGGTAAAAACCCTGAGTAACTGGACTAAATTCAAAATACATTTTTTTGTTTGGATTTTTTTGTAGAAAATACCCTTTGAAGCGGTATCTGTGTTAGAGCGCCACCTATTGTTTGTTTTTAAGCCCAAAACAATTCAGAATCCTCATCTACCTTTTATGGCTGATAAAATAAATTAATTTTAATCAGATAAGAGATGTTTTGCCGTCAATTTATCGATCACGATTCAACTTTTCAAGCTCTCAAGCATCAAGATCATCCGGCTATAAGCATATTTTGCATAGCCCGATATTGGAT